AAAATATCAATATTATTTTCAAATGTCCAGTTACGACCAAGCAAGAGAGATGTACATAATTGTGATGATATTTCAACGTCTACTATGGTAGTATATCTGGTAATGTGACCACCTCTCCTATCTTCAAGTTTAACTTCAATTTTGGCTCGTCCTATCGTAGTAAGCTCGGTGCTGTTGGCCGTCTAATGTGTATTAGATCTTGACAGCATTTGTTGTTTCTTTGCAAGTTTTTGATACAGATCCTCATGAATGATTGAGACTGCCGATCCTGTATCCACCATAGCTTCAGCTCGTTTTCCATTAACTGATGTTTTTATCATAACTGGACATGATGGATTTTTGCGTTTCTGCAATGGTTTTCTGGGTTTCTTTCTAGGATCGGGACCATTGCAGACCGATCCCACAGCTAGTTTAAATGATGTTGGTTAGATCGACAGTCTCGTCTAATATGGCCAAATTTACCACATTGGTAACATTGACGAGTTTCTTTTCTCTGACTATTTTGATTTCGATTATGCCGATCATAATTTGGAGTTTGTATTCGACGTCCATGTGAAGGGTGTTGAATTTGAACATTTTGAGACGATGTATATGGTGGTTGAGAATGACTATGCACTGTCCTTTGGTTCGCCTGTTGTATCTGACGCGCAGGTTGACAAGCAGCCGTAACTGTGGATTGATAAAAGACAGGTTCCTGTTGTTCTACAACATATACATTTGGAGTTGAGTTTTTTGTTATTTCGACTTGCTCAAATTTATGTACTTGGCGAGCGAAATCAGCTGTTGTTTGAATTCGATGTTCATGTTCTTGTACTTTCGATTGCATATCAGGTGGCAGTCCTTGCGCCAGTTTGATAATCTGATCGGCTTGTGACATTTGAGGACTATATCTCTGACACAATTCAACTTTATCACGTACGTATTGATGAACTGTTTCATCCGGTCTTTTAAATCTCTGATTTATTTCTCGATCCATTTGCAATAAACTTTTTTGTGGTGAAAATTCAGCTGTTATTGCTTGAACGAATGCTGCCCATGTTTGAAATGGTGTTGTTCTATGTATACGATCGTACCACA